TAGCATTCTTTTTTCAGTTGCGATGAAAAATGCCTCCAAAAAAATTTATTCTGCTCCTAGACTACTGAAGCTCAATAAACGCTTAAACAACCTAAAGTAAAGAAAAGACAAAAAAAATCTGCAGGCGTAATATAAGTATATTGAGTCGCATTCTATTGAGTCTTATTTATTAGTTAGTGCAGAAAAAAAACAACACAACAAAAAAAAAAAACAAAAACAAAAGAGAGCAGTCTCTGGAGTGTATTAAAGAAGTACATTTAGCATTTTTTCTTTAATTCTATGGAAATAAAACCTCTCCACCCCCCCTCCAAAACAAAACGGCGTTTCTGCTACCAGATGCGCTGAAAGTCTCAAAAAATGCCTAATAGTCTTAAAATGTAAAAAAAAAAAAAAAAAAAGAGCAGGTAATACAGAGTTATTTATTAGCCGCTTTTAACAATAGTACTGCAAAAATAATAAACAGCTGTTTAGGAGGTGTTGATAAGTAGTATTATAGCATTTTTTGTAATCATCTCTGATAAAAAAACTCCAAACAAACATGTTTCTGCATCCGCAGAGATGCCTGAAGCTCAAAAAACTGCTAATAGCTGTAAAGTAAAAAAAAAAAAAAAAAGCATGTAATAAGAGTTATTATATTAGCATTTTAATAGCCTTTTTAATAGTACATGCACGAAAAAAAAGATAAAAAAGATCAGTTTGGAGTGTTTTCAGTTAAGTATTTAGTGCAATTTTCTTTATTGCTGGAAAAAAACACTCCAAGAAATGTTTCCTGCATCCCAGACAGCTTAGAAGACTCAAAACATGCTAATAAGACTAAAGTTAAAAAAAAAAACGCATGTTAATAGACGGTTATATAGTAGTATTTAATTAGCCTTTTTATAGTACACATGCAAATATAAAAAAGCAGTCTTGGAAGAGTTTTAGTGAGTATTTAGCATTTTTTATAATCGCTGGAAAAAACACTCCACAAAAATTCTTCTTGCTCCAGACAACTGAAGCTCAAAAAACCGGTTTAAAAAGCACAACAGTAAATTGAAAAAAACAAACACGCAGGTAATAGTTATTTAGTACGCGTTTTATTAAGCCTTCTTTATAATTGTACTACAATGCAGGAAAAAAAAAAACAAAATAAAAAAAGCAGTTGGGGAGCGTTTTCGTCTTTAGTAGTATTCAGCATTTTTTTAAATGCTAGGGCTAAAACACTCCAAAAAATGTTTCTCTGCTCCTAGACGCTTGAAGCTCAAAAACGCTCTTAAAAGCCCAAAGTAAAAAAAAAACAAACAAAAAAAAAAAAAAACGCAGGTAATCAGTTTTATTTCGTAGACATTTTATTAGCCTTTTTTATAGTACAATGCAAGGAAAAAAAAAAAAAAACAAAAAGACAGTTAGGAGAGTTTTAAGTTAGGTGTTCTACAGCAATTTTTTTTAATTAATGCTGGGGAAAAAACACTCCAAAAAATGGATATGCTGCTCCCAGACGCTCGAAGCTCAAAAACGCTAGAAGCCCAAAGTAAATAAAAAAAAAAAAAAAAACGCAGGTAATAAGAGTTATTTAGTAGCGTTTATATTAGCATTTTTATAGTACACATGCAAAAAAGAAAGAAAAAAAAAAAGCAGTTTGGAGCGTATTTAGTAGTATTTAGCAAGTTGTTTCTTAATAGCTGGAAAAACACTACCAAAAAAGTCTTTTCTGACTCCCAGACGCTGAAGCTCAAAAAATGCTAAAAGCCTACAGTAGTGTGCTTGGAACACTATTTAGCTTCTAGGAACAACAGAAAAGAAAAAAAATGCTGACAACAGCTTCTAGGAGCTTAAAAAAACCCCAAAACCCCCCCCCCCCCCCAACAAAAAAAAAACCCACCACTAGTGTGCATGGAGCCATATCATGAACACGTCCAGTTTCTAGGAGAGGTCAGGTTCCAGGTTTACATCTACTTTCTCTGTTGATCCCGGTCTCTGGCATTGGTTTTAGTATTTGCCAACATTGTCATTTTTTCTTTTCACTTTCAGTGGTGGGCGGAGACTTCTGATCACATTTATAAATGTATATTTTTACATTTTTGATGTCCTATAATAAATATTCTGGTTTGATATCACCCCGGGTGGTTACATTAGGTACCACCGCTTTCTTTTGGGGACCCTTTCCCAATTTTTCTTTACGTCTACTTTACGTTTTTACTTTTTGTTTTTTTGCTTTTTTTTTTAAAGATTTTGTTTACAGAATATTGAGATTTTTGCATGACCCCAATTGTGATTATTGGTTCTTGAAAACCGCTGCTTCGCCCTGTTTCTATTGCAATCATTTTTCCCTGCAGTTCCAATTACATACGCACCCAGAGACAGAAAACAAAGAAGCATAACACCCCTGCATCATCCCGGCAGGCGGACTGACCATTCCAGCACTGCCCGGGGGCCCGGGGTCAGTACGGGGGGCCCCATGAAATACCGGTTACCTTTTTCATAGGCTTTTTTTTTGTGGGTGTGCTTTGAGTGTGGGCATGGACCACAGGGGCATCCACGATCCCCTATTGCCCGGGGGCCCCCATGAGTTGTCCAAGTCCGCCCTGCAACCCCGGGTCAACGACTTAGGCATGCGATCTGCATGCCCTGCGACTTATGTAGCAAGTTCACAAGCAGCAATAAAGTTCTTCAGAAATCGCACCTGCAACTGAACATAAGGCTGGGCCATACACTATACAATTTTCTGTTCAATTTTCTGCCCAAATTCCTTTAGTTTTACCTTCAACTATGTAGTGCAAGGGCTTGCTTAACCCCTTCGCGCCGCAGCCTCCCGGCCCTTTAAGAATTTCAGATCAGCAGACGCCAGGAGGTGGGGGGGGCCTTAGGGTCATGTGACTTGCCGTGACACGCCATCACACGATCGGGAAAGGGTCCCGATCGAAAGAGGAGATCGGAACATTTTCCGTGAGTACAGGACATGTGGTGCTGGGAAGCGGGCAGGGCGCGCGATTCTCGGCACAAATGCGTCCTTTTTTCAATAGAATCCAAATGTACGGCATACCGCTCGGCGTCTAGGCCCAGACGCCAGGATGCCCCGGGCATACGGTCGCAACATTTTGCGTTTCGGAACCGGCGTGAAGAGAGTTAATTGGATACAACTGAAAGCGTTTGTTTAGGTTTGACCTCCTATTATATGCGTTTTTGGTAAATCTAAAGCAATTCTCTAAAGAAAATTGTATAATGTATGGCCAGACTTAATCGCCAGCAGTGAGGTGACCGGTGACTGAGCCCCTGGTTCACATTGGATGCGACTTTGGCATGGATGCGAATCTGCATGCCCTGTGACTTGTAGCAAGTTCACAGGTAGCAATAAAGACTTCAGAAATCACACATAAATTCGCAGCAGTGTTGACCGCGGCGACTAAGCCTTGGTTCACATTGGATGCGACTTGCATAGCGATCTGCAGCCTTGCGACTTGTAGCAAGTAGCAATAAAGTCTTCAGAAAATCGCACATTAACCACAGCAGTGTGACGGCGACTAAGACCTGGTTCACACTGGATATGCGACTTGCACACCCTTGCAAATCGCATGCCAAGTCCGCACCCTACTGTCCTCCATTTGTAGCCAGGTCATAATCGGCGCGGTTGCCCACTTGGTCAGAGCCGCACTGATTTCAAAAAAAGTAGAACATGCGCTCAACTTTTGGTGCGATTGGCATCAGATGTCTTGCCAAATCGCCCCCTGAATTCGGCATGCCGCCCTGACGTTGAAATCGTGCGACATCCTTCGCCGTAAGTCGCGGCACGATTTCAAAAGTCGGCTTTGATGCGACCGGGGTGTGAAACACAGATAAAAACACAACAGTACAATAAAAAATAAAAAAGTCAGACGATCTTTGTTAGCGTAGACTGGTAATTGGAGATACAACTTCCTTGTATTGTAGCCAAGATGAAATGTTGAGGACAGAATGTCTAGGAGGGAAGGGTGACATGGGGGGGGGGGGTACTTCGCCACAAAAAAACAAAAAAAAAAAGACGTGATCAAAGAAGCAACAGCTGGGGTGCAAAGACGGTTTATTAACCCAACGCACGAGGGAAAGACGGTCTGGATTCCTGCACTCCGCATTCCTCTCTCTCTCTGTACTGGAAAGGCGATTCGGTCACAGCGGCGCGCAGATTAGCCACGGTTGCTTAGCAACTGTCGGCAGGACACTTTCCCCGGCTCCTTTGAGCGCCGGCATCCGCCTTCTGCGAGGATTCCTCGTGTCTTCCATGCAACAGGGACGGCTGACCTAACGGCTTTTCTCTCATTTGCACGATGGCTCTTCCAGTGGAACAAAAAACCAAAAACAACAAAAAAAAAAACAAAACCAAAACAGCTTCTGATTGCGTCCCTGAAGCGCGATGCTGAATCTCTAAGTCCAAGGTGCGACTTTTTGCCGCAGAATACTCGGGGCAGTTTTGACATGAAGGACAAAAACAAAGAGACATTGACCCCCTCCCCCCTTAAAAGGGACCGACCATATTAAAATATGTACTTAAAAACAAATAGAAAAAAAAGCACATTAATCATCAGGACAGGCCCTCGGTCCGCGCCTATGTCAATGCGGAGGGTCGACGTGTGCAAACATGAGCGCCAAAAGAGTGTCACATGATGGCTTCCCGCTCGGCCACGCGTGGCAAACAAAAGAGGGAAGCTGAGACTAAAAAAACAAAAAAAAAAAACAAAAAAAAAAAAAAAAAAAAAAAAAAAAAAAAACGAAAAAAATAAAAAAAAAAATTAAAAAAAAAAAAAAATTACCCAAAAAAAAAACTGTCGGGAAAAAGAACCCCCAAGACGTCCGCAGTGCCAGTCTTGCCTTGAGAACTACAGATTGGTCATTTCCCGGGTTGGTCTAGTTGTTGTTTATGCGGCCGGCGGGGAAGAGCGGAGGTGGTGGGGGCGGAAGGTGATGTGACGGGGGGTGGCATGCTGGGAAGCGCGTGGAGGAGGGGCAGAGAAAGGGGGTGTTGCGGCAAGGTCGGCGAAAGCCCCGGGCTAGACTGGACCGGAGAGTTGCCGCTCTGTGAGGAGGCGGAGAGGCTGGCCACTGTCCCGGGGCTGCCTGGGGGTCGGGGGGTTCCCGCCCGGGAAGCACTTTTCCCTGTGAGCCTTCAGCATGTTGGAGAATCGGAAGCGCTGGCCGCACACGCTGCAGGGGTAAGGTTTCTCGCCTGTGTGGGTGCGGCGGTGGCGCTTCATGTTCGGCCGGCTGGTGAAGCTCTTGCCGCAGATTTCACAGATGAAAGGTTTCTCTCCTGCAACAGAAAAGAGGACCTGAGTCAATGCCTAGACCAGTATGAACAAGGCCAAGTAATGCAGGCCATAGATGGGTCAAACATCGGCAGATTTTCGGATCGTTTTTTCGTGATTTTGACACTTTTTTTTTTAGCGGTAAAGTTGGAAAAAAAATCGGCCAATTTTCCCGGAAATGATGGGCAAATCGGGCTGATCTTTTTACCAAGAAAAAAATCTGAGCAGAAGAAAAAGAAGAAGCAGAAGAAGAAAAAGAAGAGCAGAAGAAGAAAAAGAAGAAGCTGCAGAAGAAGAAAAAGAAGAAGCAAGAAGTAAAGAAGCAGAAGAAAAAGTAGAAGAAGAAAAGAAAAAAGAAAAAGAAGAAAAAGAAGAAAAAAGAAGCAGAAGAAGAGAAGAAGAAGAAAAAGAAGAAGAAGAAGCAGAAGAAGAAAAAGAAGAAAAGAAGAAGCAGAAGAAGAAGAAAAGAAGAAGAAGCAGAGAAGAAAAAGAAGAAGAAGAAAAAAAAGAAAGAAGCAGAAGAAAAAGAAGCAGGAAAGAAGAAAAAGAAGAAGAATTCCAGTCCGCTATTATATTTGACATTAAAAAGTATAGCGGTTGCAACATTGTATCCACTTGTATCCGAATAAAAACGTCTGTATCCGAAATGGATACAAATAGATACAATGTTGCAACTTTGCTATACTTTTAAATGTCAAATATAATAGCGGAGCTCTCTGCAGGGACACCACTATTATATTTGTCGGCTGTAGACGGGACGAAAATCAGCCGATTTTTTTTTTACCAATGGTGGGAACGTCGGCTGATTGAACGACCGATTTTTTAAAAAAAAAAACAACGCCCAGTTTTCGCCCCGTCTATGGCCTGTATAAGGCTTGGTTCACACGGCTGCGACCTGAAAGTTTTGTGACTTACGGTGCGACTTTGCCAATTGACTTCCTGGCGACTTGATGCTGCTTGAGTACTACATTGGTGCACCATTTTTCATGCCACGTGACTTTGCCTGGGTAATCTTCCTGTAACGTCGGATCCAAATCATATCAATAGAGATGAGGATCCGACTTGGTGGCGACTTCTATTAAAGTCTATGGGCACAAGTCGGATAGAAGTCACCTTAAGTAGTACAGGAACCTTTTTCTGAAGTCGGAGCGACTTCAGTAGTGCTAAAACGGCTCTCATTGACTAACATGGGATCCGAATAAAGAGAGCCCAAGTCGCATCCCATGTTAGTCAATGACTTGTTGCTGCTTGAGTGCACATTGATACAACATTTTCATGCCATGCGACTTGGCCTGGGGTAATCTTCTTGTAACGTCGGAGTCAAATCATGTCAATATAGATGAGGATCTGACTAGTAGTGCAGGAACCTTTTCTGAAGCCGCAGTGACTTCAGTAGGGTTAATTAAGACCGCTCTCATTGACGAACATGGGATTTCACATGTCATGCGACTTTGCCTGGGCAATCTTCCTGTAACGTCAGATCCAAATCGCATCAATATAGATGAGGATCCGACTTGGCGGTGTCTTCTATTAAAGTCTATGGGCACAAGTTGGATGGAAGTCGCCTTGAAAGTTACAGGAACCTTTTCTGAAGTCGGAGCGACTTCTGTAGTGCTAATTAAGACCGCTCTCATTGACTAACATGGGATTTCACATGTCATGCGACTTGGGCTCTCTCCAGTCAGATCCCATGTTAGTCAATGAGAGCGGTTGTAATTAGCACTACTGAAGTCGCACCGACTTTAGAAAAGGTTCCTGTACTACTTCAAGGCGACTTCTATCCAGCTTGTGCCCATAGACTTTAAATAGAAGTACAGGAACCTTTTCTGAAGTCGGAGCGACTTCTGTAGTGCTAATTAAGACCGCTCTCATTGACTAACATGGGATTTCACATGTCATGCGACTTGGGCTCTCTCCAGTCAGATCCCATGTTAGTCAATGAGAGCGGTTGTAATTAGCACTACTGAAGTCGCACCGACTTTAGAAAAGGTTCCTGTACTACTTCAAGGCGACTTCTATCCAGCTTGTGCCCATAGACTTTAATAGAAGTTGCCGTCAAGTCAGATCCTCATCTATATTGATTGACATTACAGGAAGATTACCCAGGCAAAGTCGCATGACATGAAAATATTGTATTAATGTGGCACTCAAGCAGCAACAAGTCATTGACTAACATGGGATTTCACATGTCATGTGACTTGGGCTCTCTCTAGTCGGATTCCACGTTAGTCAATGAGAGCGGTCTTAATTAGCACTACAGAAGTTGCTCCGACATTAGAAAAGGTTTCCGTACTACTTCAAGGCGACTTCAATCCGACTTGTGCCCATAGACTTTATATAGAAGTCGCCACCAAGTCAGATCCTCATCTATATTGATGTGATTTGGATCAGACGTTAAGGGAAGATTACCTAAGCCAAGTCGCATGGCATGAAAATGGTGCACCAATGTGGTACTCAAGCATCATCAAGTCGCCAGGAAGTCACCTGACAAAGTCGCACCGTAAGTCACGAAACTTTCAGGTCGCAGTCGTGTGAACCAAGCCTTAAGATGAGAAGAAAACGAGAAAAAAAAAAAAAAAAAAAATAAAATTTCCAGACCTACTGTAAGATGAACACGTACTTTACTTATACAGGACGAGGCAACAGGTACAAAATTATTACCACCCCTGCAGCAGCTTATACACACTCCATTCCGTTCAACCAATGAGTACCTTCCGGGGGTTCCTGGAACTCACTTTCCTTTCTGGTCACATGACGGAGCAGGTGCTTGGTAATTGGCCACTCAGGTGCAGTCTTGGCCCAAAATTTTGGCAGCCCCACATTTCTGTCAGATCTTGCACCACTTGGCTGAGATAATTGTCGCAATTACAAATGTTTTCGAATTCTCATGTTTATTTCTTGTATTTGTATTGGTACGACACAAAAAAAAAAAGTGGAGAAACGAAAAGCCAAATCTGACACATTCCACGCAAAACCCCAAAAATGGACCGGACAAATTTATTGCCACCTTCTCAAAATTGTAAGAAATAATTGCATTCCGAGTTTGTGATGCTCTATTAACAGATCTTGTGTTCACTGTGCACAAGACTCAAGAAGAAACAAAAAGCCAAAATCTGACACATTCCACACATAATCCCAAAAATGGACCGGACAAAATTATTGGCACCCTCCATGTAATATTTGGTAGCTCAAACCTTGGAAAAAAAATAACTGAAATCCATGGCTTCCTGTCACCATCAATGAGTTTCTTCCACCTCTCTGCTGGAATTTTGGAGCGCTCTTCTTTCGCCAACTGCTCCAGGTCTCTCAGAATGGAAGGGTTCCTTTTCCAACTGATGTTCTGAGATCTCTCCACAGGAGCTCTATGGGATTGAGATGTGGACTCATTGCTGGTCAGTTCAGTCCTCTCCAGCATTTTGTCTGAAACCATTTCTGGGGGCTTTGTGATGTGCGCTTTGGGTCATTGTCCTGCTGGAAGACCCATGACCTCTGATGGACACCCAACTTTCTGACATCGGGTCCTACATTGCACCCCAGAATTCTTTGGTAGTCTTCAGATTTCATAATACCATCCACACGGCCAAGACATCCAGTGGCTGAAGCAGCAAAGCAACCCAAACCATCAGTGACCCCCCCACCATGTGTGACTGGAGGTACTGGAGTCCTCATTCTTTTTTAGTAGAAGGCCTTTACCATTGCTTTTTGTGAAAACAGTAGAATGATGGGCTTTACCAAAAAGCTGGAATTTTGTTTCATCTCTCCACAGCACATTCTGCCAGAAGGATTTTGGCTTCCCTCAGGTAAGTTTTGGCAAACTCCAATCTGGCTTTTATATGTTTCTGTGTCAGCAGTGGGGTCCTCCTGGGTCTCCTACCATATTTTCTGTGTCAGCGGTGGGGTCCTCCTGGGTCTCCTACCATATTTCTGTGTCAGCGGTGGGTCCTCCTGGGTCTCCTACCATATTTTCTGTGTCAGCGGTGGGGTCCTCCTGGGTCTCCTCCACAGACACCATTTTTCTGTGTCAGCGGTGGGGTCCTGGATCTTACCATATTTCTGTGTCAGCGGCGGGGTCCTCCTGGGTCTCCTACCATATTTCTGTGTCAGCGGCGGGGTCCTCCTGGGTCTCCTACCATATTTCTGTGTCAGCGGCGGGGTCCTCCTGGGTCTCCTACCATATTTCTGTGTGTCAGCGGGGGGGTCCTGGGTCCTCCTGGGTCTCCTACCATATTTCTGTGTCAGCGGTGGGGTCCTCCTGGGTCTCCTACCATATTTCTGTGTCAGCGGTGGGGTCCTCCTGGGTCTCCTACCATATTTCTGTGTCAGCGGTGGGGTCCTCCTGGGTCTCCTACCATATTCTGTGTCAGCGGTGGGGTCCTCCTGGGTCTCCTTTTCATTCAGATGGTGACGTATAGTGCGAGCGGACACAGTTATACCCTGTGCCTGAACGTCGGCTTGAAGTTGTCTGGAAGTTGATCAAGGTTCTTTATCCATCATTCCAACAATCCTTCGTTGCAATCTTTGATCAATTTTTCTCTTTCCTCCACGTCCAGGGAGATTAGCTACAGTGCCAAGAGCTGTAACCTTCTTGACAATGTTGCGCACAGTGGACACAGGAACATTAATATGTTAATTGATACAGGTGAGTTTAATTACAAATTACAGGGGCATCACAAACTTGGAATGCAATTATTTCTTACAAGTCTGAAACAGTGCCAATAATTTTGTCCAATCCATTTTTGGGGGTGTGGCATGGAATGTGTCAGATTTGGCTTTTTGTGTCATACCAATACACAAACAAACAAAAGAAATAAACACGAGAATGCTGAACCATTTGTAATTACAACAATTTTCTGGGCAAAGTGGTGCGCTGACAGAAATTCAGGGGTGCCAATATTTTTGGCCATGACTGTACCCAGCAGTGTCACATGGGGTGGGTGGAGAGTGGTCAATCCTGTGTATACGCTCCAAACTGCAACGTGGGGCTGACATAAGGTTTGGTTGGGCTCATGGCTACCAAAGGAAGGAAAAGAGAGTATGTGCCCCAAACCCGGTTTGCCCTAAAACCACTTAAGCACCATGTTATTTCTGGCACTTTGTTCACATCTAACAGTTTTTTTTTGTTTTTTTTTTATTTGCTAGAAAATTACTTACAACCCCTAAACATATACATATTTTTTTTTAACCTCTTGGCGCCGCCGGCCCGCACGCAAATGTGCTGCCTCCCGAGGTCTGGGCCTTGACGTCGAGCGGCCGTACATTTGCGTGCAATTAAGAAAAACATATGTACTGAGAGCGCGTGCCCTGCACGCTCCCAGCACACATGTCCGGTACTCACGGAAAGGTCCCGATCTCCTCTTTCGATCGGGACCTTTCCAGATCATGTGACCGCCGTGACAGCGAATCACGGCGGTCACATGACCCTAAAACCCCGCCTCCCGGCTTCTGAAACACTTAAAGGGCCGGGAGGCACCAAGGGGGTTAAGCAGAGGCCCTAGAGAATAAATTGGTTGGATTTGAAATTTTATGTCACACGGTATTTGTGCAACGGGTTTTTCCAACGCAGTTTTTTGGGAAAAAAAATACACTTTTTAAAATTTTGCACAAAAAACAAACATTACACAACCCAATTTTTTTGTAGAATATAAAACATGAGTAAATAGATACCAAACACGTCAACCTTTAAAATTGAACAACAACAAAACAATATACATTTTACTATTCACAGGTGATGCTTTAAAAGCCTTTACAGATTACCACTTTAGATTTGCAGAGAAGGTCTGGCACTAGAATTACTGCCCATGATCTGATGCGGTGATATCACACGTGTGGAACGAACGCGGTTTGTGTGCATGCGAAACCAACGTGTGCGTTCGCCTTTGCGCGCAAGGAAGAGGCACTTTAATTTTTTTCTTTCATTTACACTGTAATGTCACATTTTTTTTCGATCACTGTTATTGCTGTCACAAAGAACATAAACATCCCTTGTGACAGCAATAGGCAGCAACAGCTACTCTTTATGGAAGGATCTGGGGTCAGTAAGACCCAAAATCCCTCCTCTGCCCTTACAAGCATTCAGAAACACCAAGATTGGTGTGAATAAATGCTTTTAATTTTTAAAAATGGCGCAAAGTAAAGCGAAAGGGATGTCAGGTCATTGCTTCCGGTTTACTATTTAATGGAGCTGAACAAAGCCGATCCCATCTTTGTTCAGCTCCATGACTAGCTTGCAGCCCTGGCTGGTCGATAGGGATTCCCTGTGGGATGGGAGATCACGTTAAAGCAGTGGAAGACGGCAATGGGGGATGCTGTGGTGGTGGATGTGGTGGTGGTGGATGTGCTCCGTGACTAGCTTGCAGCAGCCCCGGCTGGTCAATCAGGATTCCCTGTGGGACGGGATATCACATTAAAGCAGTGGAAAGCGGCAAGGGAGTTGGGGGAGGATGTGGGTGGTGGTGGATGAGGATGGTGGTGGTGGTGGATGTGCTCCATGACTAGCTTGCAGCAGCCCTGGATGGTCGATTGGGATTTCCTGTGGGACGGGAGATCACGTTAAAGCAGTGGAAAGCGGCAAGGGAGTTGAGGGGGTGGATGTGGTGGTGGTTGGGGGGGGAGTTGTGGGGAGGCTGCGGGGGGTGGTGGTGGATGTGATGGTGGTGGATGTGGTGATGGTGGTGGATGTGCTCCGTGACTAGCTTGCAGCAGCTTTGGCTGGTCGATCAGGATTCCCTGTGGGGGGGGGAGATCACGTTAAAGCAGTGGAAAGCGGCAAGGGAGTTGGGGGGGGGGGTGGGGGGATGTGGTGGTGGGATGTGATGGGGGTGGGGGTGCTCCATGACTAGCTTTGCAGCAGCCCTGGCTGGTCGATCGGGATTCCCTGTGGGATGGGAGGGGGGTTAAAGCAGTGGAAGGCGGCAAGGGAGTTGGGGGGGGGAGGATGTGGTGGGGTGGATGTGGGGGGTGACTAGCTTGCAGCAGCCCTGGCTGGTCGATCGTGATTCCCTGTGGGATGGGAGATGGGTTGGCAGTGGGGGGTGGTGGGGGGGGGGGGGGGTGGGTTGGGTGGAGTTGGGGTGGGGGGGGTGGTGGCTGGTGGGGGGGGGTGACTAGCTTGCAGCAGCCCTGGGATGCTCGATCGGGATTCCCTGTGGGACGGGAGATCACGTTAAAGCAGTGGAGGGGGGGGAGTTGGGGGGGGGATGTGGTGGTGGGGGGTGGTGGTGGGTGGGTGGTGTGATGGTGGTGGACGTGCTCCATGACTAGCTTGCAGCAGCCCTGGCTGGTCGATCGGGATTCCCTGTGGGATGGGAGATCACGTTTAAAGCAGTGGAAGGCGGCAAGGGAGTTGGGGGGAGGATGTGGTGGCGGTGGATGTGGTCCGTGACTAGCTTGCACCAGCCCTGGCTGGTCGATCGGGATTCCCTTAGGGATGGGAGATCACGTTAAAGCAGTGAAAAGCGGCAAGGGAGTTGGGTGGAGGATGTGGTGGCTGTGGTACGTGACTAGCTTGCAGCAGCCCTGGATGCTCGATCGGGATTCCCTGTGGGACGGGAGATCACGTTAAAGCAGTGGAGGGCGGCAAGGGAGTTGGGGGGAGGATGTGGTGGTGGTGGATGTGGTGGTGGTGGATGTGATGGTGGTGGACGTGCTCCATGACTAGCTTGCAGCAGCCCTGGCTGGGTCGATCGGGATTCCCTGTGGGATGGGAGATCACGTTAAAGCAGTGGAAGGCGGCAAGGGAGTTGGGGGGGAGGATGTGGTGGCGGTGGTGGATGTGGTCCGTGACTAGCTTGCACCAGCCCTGGCTGGTCGATCGGGATTCCCTTAGGGATGGGAGATCACGTTAAAGCAGTGGAAGGCAGCAAGGGAGTTGGGGGGAGGATGTTTAATAGCAACCAAGCAGCTAGTTAGCTACTCAGATTGCTGTTTCAAGAAAGCCGACCATCTGCAGCTGCAGGCATCAGCCTGGTACAACCACTTGAAGTCCGGTGACGTACCAGGAATGTGACTGGTCAGCAAGTGCTTAAGCCATTTTTACCTAGTCAAACTTTTCTTTATTGAAAAAGTGTGGAAGGGAGACATTTGATCTGGAGTCGGTTTTTGTTTTTTTTTTTAGCGTAAATTTAAGTTCATAGTCCAATGAGCTCTGAGGAAGGAAAGGGGGTTTATCCCCCCGACACGTATCAGCCATCCCACCGTGAGGTACCTGAATAGATGATGGTGGTAATGCGCTATTATATTTATTTATTTTTGTATTCTTCTACATTTAAATGGTTTGAGTCCCAACAAAAAGGGACCACACGCGAAAAGTGTCGCCATGTTTCCTCCATATACCCTTGGACTCCTAAACCTTTGAGTTGGTGCTTTTATAGTCATTATATATTCCAAATATTCAGATCAGTGAAGCGGTCACACCAGAACTACCCCAAGCTGCCATTCCCAGGCCCCTTCAGAAAATACAGTAGAAAAAAAAAAAAAAAAACTTTGTTACTGTTAGTTGGACCGACTCACCTGCATCCTGGAGTTGGTGCCATTTTCTATTTTTGCCACAAGCCTCCACTTTTGGAAAAATGACAGTTGTGCCAAGGTGGAGTGGTCAAGTGAGATCTTTGGAAGCCGGAACACTGGACAAAATTATTTTATTTTGGATAGAAAGGCTGAAGGGTTAAAAAATCAGTTTGCCCCTGCTGGAGGGGGTGGGGATTTGTCCTCACTTGCCCTGCGGCCACACAGGAAGTGAAAGAAAATCTTTCCAGGAGGAAAAAGACCAAAATGACAATGTTACAGACTTTTCCTCACTGTAACCAAAAAATAAATACAACCCATGTGTATTCTTCTTGGATCTCGGTGAGCTTTGTGTATTTCTTCCAGATCTGTGCAGTGATCCAGTGAGAGACTTCCTGTAATAAAGACTGCTCACTGCTGACCTCTCTCCTTGTGCAGGGTGACTGGTCTTGCTCCGCCCCTTCCTGTAATAAAGACCGCTCACTGCTGCTCTCTCTCCTAGTGCAGGGTGACTAGTCTTGCTCCGCCCCTTCCTGTAATTAAGACCCCTCACTGCTGCGCTCTCTCCTAGTGCAGGGTGACTGGTCTTGCTCCGCCCCTTCCTGTAATAAAGACAGTTCACTGCTGCTCTCTCTCCTTGTGCAGTGTGACTGGTCTTGCCCCGCCCCTTCCTGTAATAAAGACCCCTCACTGCTGCTCTCTCTCCTTGTGCAGGGTGACTGGTCTTGCTCCGCCCCTTCCTATAATAAAGACCGCTCACTGCTGCTCTCTCTCCTAGTGCAGGGTGACTGGTCTTGCTCCGCCCCTTCCTATAATAAAGACCGCTCACTGCTGCTCTCTCTCCTTGTGCAGGGTGACTGGTCTTGCCCCGCCCCTTCCTGTAATAAAGACCCCTCACTGCTGCTCTCTCTCCTTGTGCAGGGTGACTGGTCTTGCTCCGCCCCTTCCTATAATAAAGACCGCTCACTGCTTCTGCTCTCTCCTTGTGCAGGGTGACTGGTCTTGCTCCGCCCCTTCCTATAATAAAGACCGCTCACTGCTGATCTCTCTCCTAGTGCAGGGTGACTGGTCTTGTGTCTCCGCCCCCTCCTGTAGTTTTCTACAGGAAGCCTGTAGTGGGTGGAGCTGCTGCACCCCTCCCACAGCTCTGCTCAGGATATGTAAAGCACAGTGATTTTTATGGCTACTTTTACAAGGTAACAACTGTGCTTGCTGAGGCATCTGGTAGCTATGAAGGAACGTATTTAACTAAAATGTTTGCACCCAGAGTTCGGCTTTATTGACCAAAATACGTGGCACAGACAACCACATGGGTCAGGACTCACAAGATGGTGTGACACCAGGATGGGGGAATGACTAAGGGCATGGAGGAGGTGGTAGGGAGCGTGACATCACAGGAAGGGGAAAAAGCCCCCGATATTAAATGAGTTTCCTTACTTTCCTTACCGGTATGGGTCTTCATATGTTCATCAAAATACTGTTTCATGTTGAAATCTTTCCCGCACCACTGACACATGAACTGCTTGTGACCGATATGTATGCTCATGTGTGACCGCAGCTGGTACTTGTACTGAAACCGCTCATGACAATTCTGGATGGGATGGAAAAAAAAAAAAGGAAAAAAATTATTACAACACGATTTCCTAAAGCAATGCAGCAAACAGGGACAGACTGACAACAACTCATGGGGCCCCCGGGCAATAGGGGATCATGGGGCCCCTGTGTCCTTGCCCAAAATAAAAAAAGCCTATGAAAAAGGTACCAGGGGCAACTCATGGGGCCCCCTACTGACCCCGGGCCCTCGGGCAGTGCCCGAGTTTCCAAATGATCAGTCCGCCCCTTGCTGCAAAATAGTAAGAAGACTGTATAAATAGAAATTGTATCTTCAGTCCATCTTTTGGGACCTAGAAGGACACTGCATTTTATCAGTGTTTTTAGGGCTCATGTACACTGCAGCTGATAAACTGACGTTTAGGAGCTGTTCAGTGTTTTTTTTCAGCAGCCCCTGAGCTCCCCCTAATGTTTTCCTATGTGTCCATGTACACATCTTCGTTTACAGTCAATTACAAGCAGTTGAGTTTAGTCGTTATTTATTTAAGTGGTACCTACAACAATACTCTGAAAATTCTACCATTTGTCCTGAAACCTTTCTAAAATCCAGCAGTGCACTTCCTGTGCCTAGGCACTCCTGTCCTGTAGTCTCATAGTTGCTGCAGGGCGAGTTCATGTAAGGCTCCGCTGCCTCTGACCGCTAGTCTTTGAGTGAGAGTTGGTGAGGTCACTTTTCTTCTTGCTGGAGAGAAAACTGTACCTGAACCTGCAGTGTAAGGAACTCCCTGCTTTTGGTTTATTCCCTCTTTGGATTTGTGCTTGCTCCACCTCTCTTTGCTGTTCATCATTGCCCCCACCAGTCATCAGGGAGGAGGCAAACCCCCGCCTCTACCAAGATGACTGCCTCCACCCAGAACAAGCCTGTAGGCTTTTGAACCTCAAAGTGAAATCTCTGCGCTAACTTCTCACGCATTGCTGGAGTAAATTCTGGACTCTCACCTCACACTTGAAGGGTTTCTCCCCGGAGTGCTGCAAAGAATGGACCTTCAGAGACATGCTGCGCTTAAAAGACTTTCCGCACGTTTCACATGTGAATGGCATGTCCTTCGTGTGGGCTGTTTGTAAAGCAGGAAAAAACGTAAAACGTTAATGTCAGATTCCTAATATGCAATCTGCACTGGGTCTGGAGAAAGAATGTCCTTAGCCTTGATTGTCGGAGACATTTTTTCCCCATTTTCTGCACACATTTTACATTTTTAAATGAAACCTTTTTTTTTTTTTTTCTTTTAACCTTTATTGCCAACAGACTTTGCTCACTCAGATTGTTCCCCTTTACAGCAATCCAAATCAGCTCTACTACACAGCCAACAGTCTGCAGAGAAAGACCTCATTTACATGGACAGGCGGTAAAAACAGAGCTGCAGTTTTACTGCCCCCCCACCTCGACAGGCGAGCAAGTTAGAGCGGTATTAAACCCAAAAGCAAACATATTGCTGCTTACTAATTCTTAGATATGGCGGCTGCATTCATTATCTTTTTTCGCCTTCTTCCACTTTCATTTGGTGATCCAGCCAGCAAGTCTGTTTCACAACAAACACTTTTCTCGTGCGCTAGGAATGGACTCAGTAGAACCAATAGGAATGTTCTGGAATATGCACTGCTTGCTGCCCTCTACAGACCGGGGTGGTCCAAATACACTAAATGCAAATGGAGAAACAAAAAAAGGACGCACCGGCCTAGTGCATTATCGTTTAAAAATATATTTATTGAAGGAACAAAGTAAGTATCATACTCACAATGGACATAAAAACACAGGCATGTCAAACTGAACAAGATGTATGATCCAAACAGCATCTGAGTCCATACGATGGAACCCTGGATGACCAACTGGCTAACGCGTTTCGAGGACACAACCTCTTCCTCAGAGCCAGGGTTGCCTCCAGGAAGAGGTTGTGTCCTTGAAATGCGTTAGCCAGTTGGTCACCCAGGGTTCCATCGTACAGACTCACATGCTGTTTGGATCATACATCTTGTTCAGTTTGACATGCCTGTGTTTTTATGTCTATTGTGAGTATGATACTTACTTTGTTCCTTCAATCAATATATTTTTAAACGATAATGCACTAGGTCGGTGCGCCCTTTTTTTGTTTCTCCGTTTGCATCTAGCAAGTCTGTTTATCACAAGCTCAAACTCTCCAGCAGAATGTATCAGTTTACATGGATGAGACAAACCACTTAACACTGACAGGGGTGAATAAAATGATCAGCTTATAGTTATTCATTTAAAACCTTTTTTCCCCGAAAGAAAAAAAAAACACAACTGTTTGCTGTAACTGTAACTATAAAGTGTGAGCTGGAGTTTGGCTTCAATTTGTTAGTGTATCTAAATCTGCAAATACATTTAACACTACCCTTCCCCCACCAGACTGACAATGCTGCGGTCTTCTGTGCTCCTCCATCCAGAGAGGGGGCGCTCTAATACAAGAGGTGTGTTACTGGCCGGATCATCCAGGTGAAAAGAAAAAAAAAGAAAACAAATGCAACCACCACATCGAACGATTGGTAAGCTGCAATGTAGGACATTTTTGGTTTTGGGGTTATTACCGCTGTAACATGGCCAGTGGCCACGTTCGTAAAAACTGCTGCAAAACGTATACCGCAGGTCACGCTCGATGGGCAGTACTGCTGCCAAACATGGCCCTTTCAAAGTTTATAAGGTCACCCCCGAACCGTTCTGCAATCCTGTGAATTCGATGCGGTTGCTATGCTGCCGGCTTTCAATGGTTAACACAAAATATTGCCTCCGAGCTGCCTGCCAAACGCCTCTGAAGCCCCATGCAAAGTGGATCGCTTTTCAGAAGGGCACAAACGATGGCCAAACATTTTACCTTTTGGGCTTGTGTACATATTGGTGCTGCTGTCCATGTAACAGCGACGTCAGGGATAAAGGAGGAGTTCACCTCTGGGACCAAGTTATACGTTCCACCCAGGGACGGACTGACAACTCACGGGGCCCCTGGGCAATAAGGGATCATGGGGCCCCTGTGTCCTCACCTACACTCAAACCACACCCAAAAAAGCCTACGAAAGGTACCAGAGGCATCTCATTGGGCCCCCTACTGACCCTGGGCCCTCCGGCAGAGCCCGAGTGCCCAAATGGTCAGTCCGCCCCTGGTTCCAACTCTTTTTAGGGTTCAACATGTAGCAAGTTCCCGCTCCTGCAGCCATTCCCCGATTATGCTCCCACCCGATGACAGTGGCCCAGGAATCTTCTCCCCGCACCCACTGTCACTATTTGCAAAGAGCATGGCCCTGCGGGGCTCCGCCCACACAACTGCATCATTCATTCATAGAGTTCCGTGAATGGGAGAACTACAAGTACCAAAAGCCTGTGCGGCTGATGGCTTGTAGTTCTGTCATCGTATCTGCCTGCCTGTACGAAGTACGAGCAGACAGCTTACACTGACAACCTGCAGGAGCCCTGCATTGTACCCGCAATCAGCAACACGCCTAAAAAAGAAAATAGTAAATACACATTTTTTTTTTAACCTGCAAAAAAAAAGCATTTATCTTTCTTTATTTATTTCTTTTTAAAGGTGAACTTATCCTTTAAAGCAGGGCTCCACACAAAAGGGGAAATTCCGCTTTAAAGACTGGTCCCCCGCTCCCCATTAGGGATTGTCACATTTGGGGAGCATGTACCAGAAATTGACAGGTACCTGCTCCCATGTCCGCTGCGATCGCCTAGGTGATCGGAAGCAGACGTTGTAATCTCGTGGGACACGTGACAGGTCCCAGAAGACTATGGGGCCATTCAGGAAGTGCAGCACTACTCGCGCATGCGCAGTGGGCACCCGGCTGTTAAGTCGCAAACTGTCACAGCCGGGTGCCCACGCTGAAGATGCCGGCGCCTGGAAAACCAGACGACTGGTGAAATGGGCTGCGGGGAGGACACCATGGGATTGTGGGACAGGTAAGTGGCTGCTTTTTTAAAAGTCAACAGCTACTGACTTATTTTTTTACAGTGTGAGTGGAACTCCGCTTTAAATCCCAATACAGCAGAAAATCTGCAACTCCATTAAAAGGAAATATTTGCAATAAAAGGATAAAAATGAGATGCACATAGAACATTTCCCCGATGCTTGTACAACAAGCTGAATGACAAGAATGGAGCGGCCTGAAAGGGAAACCTGAATTTGCTGTGACAGTTGATTATCTCAAAATAATTCAATCTAGTTATTACCATCAGCTGAATGCAGCAACCTGGTTGGCTGCTTAAAATGACTGCACTTTATGCTTCTTTCTAAACAAACTTCGAGACCCAGCATCACAGCCATTTGGTGGTGCCTCTGAGCTTCTGCAGGTTAGGTCAATAGTCGTGCCGATGCTCACCTACAAGGTGCTTGCGGACGTGCGCCATCGTGTAGAACTTCTTTTCACAGATGTCACAGGAGAACTTCTTCTCTGCGTAACCGTGGACAATCTTATTGTGTTCATGCAAGGACCAGAGCTTCTTAAATGTCTTCCCGCATGTTAAACACTAAAAGAAACAGCAACACATTATGAACACTTTAGTAGTATTCTAATATGAATCATTAACCAAAATCAAACGGCAGCAGTTTAGTCAACCTAAAGCAAAAGGGACAGAATTTACTACAGTGTAGTGCACCGCCCAGTGCAAAGAAGGGGACATACCCCGAAAGCTTGTCCTGAACATAGGATGTTAGTGCAAATAAAAAAGTCACGGACAATACTCAATTATTTCTGTCGCAAGTGCACCAATATGGCTACAATCACCTCGAAGATAATCAAAATATTTGAAACTCAAGGGACTGTAATGGGGTCCAGCAGCCCACTTCTGGACCCCATTACAGTCCCTTGAGTTTCAAATATTTTGATTATCTTCAAGGTGATTGTAGTCGTTATAGTGCACTTGCGACAGAAACAATTGCGTACTGTCCGTGATACTTTTTTTATTGGCACTAACATACAATT